GATAAGATATCAGATCTGCTACTGCTGTCATGAAACTGGGGTCATGTAAACTAAACATCCTTGTAACTTCTTTTGGAAAGCACAGAAGTCTCTTAAACTGTAAATATTTAAAAATAAAATTAGACTCAGAAGAAATAGGTCTAAGATGCAAAAAACTTATCCAAATATATTAATCTCAGACAACATTTAAAAGCTATTATCCATAAAATAATTTCTCCCATATGCCTTAAAACTGAAAAAAAAAGAATTATTTCCTCTCTTTAAATAATCAGAAGTGGCACGTTCAAATAACATACCAAATGCTCTGTCCAAGCTGATTCCTCACAATTTTTAAAACTCCTTGGTTCATATGGAAATAAAATACCAACAGCAGAAAGAAAGGTGCCGATAGAATGGAGAAAGCTGTGATTCCTAATGTTAAACAGACTACCTTCATGTAACAAAAACACACCTTCCCTTTAAAGGAAGAAGTATAAAACAAGTGAATCGTCTAAGGCAAAAAGCTAATCACTAAATGGAAGTATGTGGGGTATTAACTGCATGGGACTTATTCTCATCTTTTTAAAACTATTATTGCTAATTCAAAAATCATCAGTCTTCCTTAATTGCTGCCTACGAAGATTGTATCAGATAACATTTTAAAAAATCATTTCAAGAATATTGTTGGGTACTTTTTGATAAGCATGGTATTAAACATAGCATGCTTCCTGAGGATCAGGGGTTCCTATAGCAAATCATATTCTCCATGTAGGATTTTGCCTGCTTGCTATTAACTTCATCTCTTTTCTTCAGGCTTAGCCAGTGTTTATGGTAGCTACACAGGGGTATCAGTGGAAAAACTTACTTTTGATTAGGAACTCCATGTGCAGCCCAGATTCACAATCATCCTTTGTTACACTACACCAGGGACAAGGGGAATGTCTATTCTTATGACCAAGACAGTAGTGGAATACCCAGAATTCAACCTAAGATACAAATTATTTTCTATGGATTGTGCTTCACTTCTTAATAAGTTGCTTGTCTGAACGGATTAGATCTAATTCTGCTTTTTTCTTCCTTCCATTCTTGCACAGCTATTGCAAAAAGCAGAATTTGTGATAAGAAGGTGCCATGAATTCTTTCCAGAACAGCTGAATGACATTTATCTGTGCTACTGTGACTCCTTGACTCTTTCATACGGGCAACAAAAAAGTCCTTCCACAGCAGATCTTGTGATTGGGAGTTCCACAGATCAAAACGTGGTGTTCAGGAATGAAGCAACAGAAGGCAGTCACATAGCATAGCTCTGCAGGCAGATACCATATTTTAAACTGGAAAGAGATGTGGTATTTACTGTTTGTCAAATGAAGAGTAATTTCTCTCTGCAGTTGTAACCTCCTTCAGCAAGATACACAAGTACAAGGATGAGAGTCAACTACAATAATGCAAAAACAGCTCAAGGAAGAAAGAAGAGGATGAAGAAACAGTCTCTGCAGGGATGAGTAGTGCACAGATATGCCTGCAGATATACTGGATCTCTTGCATCAACTACTTCTCCTGGTTGCAGTTCCCTTCCCCCACTGGCTGTGACTCAAACCCTTCTCTCTTGATCTACTCTTCTCCCCCTGAGATTTACCTTTGAATTATGCAAGCTTTGCACTCCCCAGGGTTTATCTGCCAAAAGGTAGCATGTGGCCCATGGTTTGCATTTTAGTTTAAAATTTTCTATTATAGCAGTCAGATCCTTTCAAAATACTTTACTTCCTTTATTCCCATAGGCAGAAAGAATGGCAGGAAAAAATTGTTCACAGCAGTATGAGAGGATGTAAAAGTTCTACATTTTCAGTTGAAAAAAAAAAAAAAGGAAAGGTGGAATATGGTTTTAATCAAGTAGTTTTCCTTCCTAGACGAGTGCTTCCTTCTTGTAATATATATAAGCTGACTGCCTATAAAAATAGAGGTGCCAGTTGGAGCCATTTAGGAGACCTAAGGAAATTCTGCATTAACCTAAACTCCTCCACTCCTCAGTTCCTTCCACTATTATTCTGTGTGTGGCCTCTCCTGATGAGTTAGGTCACCACTATCCATATATATATCTGTGAAGATACTTCAGAAACACATGCATCACAGGCTTCTCATTACTGATGTGGTCCAGGCTTGGAATACACTATCTATGTGGAGAAACTGTTATGGTTTAAAATGATACCTGAAATATTCTTTCCATATGATACCTGAAAGCCTCAGTAACTTGCAACTCTCAGAGTATACAGAAGCTTTTCCTTGATTTAGGTTTGCAAATTTAAATACGTTTCGTGCTACAACTGTCAAGATTTAAAGACCCAAACCCTGAACCTTATCAAGAGGAAAAAGCCCAAAGCATCCTTTTCAAAACTAAGATATCCAGAGTAAAATTTCTGGTTAAATAGCTGCCTTATAAACAGGCAGTAAATCTGTGGTGTCATGCCTGCCTAAAAATACTATTAATTGTCCAGATCAGAAACTCATTTGGCCTCTAACCAGGAATCTGGTGGAGAAAAGAAGAAATATTTTCTGGCAAGCTGACTGAAGGAGAAAAATAAATGCTGATTGAAGCTGCTCGGCAGTACAGAATGTTAGTGCAGGTCCTCAGGGAGATGGATTAGTAAGCAGGAAGAAGGTGAGGCTGTCAAAGGTGCATGATAAATTCATTTACCACATAGATATAGAATGATTATGCACATAGATATACACACAAACAGATTTTTTATTACTTTCATCTCTACTCACAAGTAAAAACAGAATAACTCACCATTGGTGATGATAGTCATTAAATCTCTGCACTGTCAATATAATCTCAGAGCTGACCATACATACCAATTCAAATTACATATACACATTAACATTTAAAAAAAAAAAGTGCTTTACAAAATACATGTAAATAGCAAGGGATACCTAACTAGCCAAGATGATTTTACTGGTTTACCGATCTGCTTAAAAATACTAAATAAAAACACTGCATTAGACCAATCTTCAAGTAACACAGAATGAAAATGCTACAAGATACCATTCATTCTGCTGCCCGCATTCATCAGCATGTATTTTTGACACTGTCAGTAGTGTTTCAAAATTCTGCTGCTGCTAAGCTACTCTATTATTATGAAGTCAACAACACTGCTATTCTCCCTCTCCTATTTTCATTTTTATATGCCACTCAGTTCAGGCAGAATAGAACAACTCAAAAATAAGAAACACTGTAGTGAAATACAATAAAAATATGACAAATTCAAAAGGTTTTGTAAGAAAATATATATTAATATATTTATAGAAGTACAAAGTGAATGCTTCTTTAACTGAGATGATCCATGCTTCCAGACAGGTTTATAATTTCCCTGGTCTTAAATTACTTTTTTTCCAGCTATGACACAAGTAGAACAGATCACCTTAAAATTGATAATAGAATTGTTCTAGAAAGATTAAAAACGACCCAAAAGAAGTGTTTAGTATTACTTCAATTATTATTTTCATAAATGTTGGTTCAATTATGGTTCATTTAATACCAAAATTAAGAACAAATTACACACAGTGCCCAGTGTATTTTTCAGCTCACGCTCAAACCTAGAACTTCAAGAGTCTAATAAATACTCTTACAAGGGACAAATATTTCCTTGTCAGTGTACAGCAGACAAACATTATCAATTAAACGAAAACATGACAGGGTGAACATCTAGTTCTCTTGGGTCAGTAACTGTTTCAAACCCAGATGATAACATTTTTTCTTGAAAGCCAAGTGTTTCAGTCTCTCTTTTTTTAGCGTTAAATGTATTTATGTGCAATATCTACATTTTACCTCAAAGTGGACCAAGATGCAGTCTACAGACTGATGGCAACCCATGTAATGACGAGTTCCAGACATCAGTTCTGGTACCTAAGCTAGTCCTTGTGTACCCCTACATGCTCTGCATAGCCCCCAAACCTTTCCACTGTACTCACCAGCCAGCTACAACGCATAGTGTTGCTACCTTGTGACTTTCTCTACAGAAGCTGTCAAGGTGACCCAAACAGTCAGACTGCCAGCACGTACAGAGAAAATAGTACTATTTAAAACAATAATTACTTACTTCTCAAACCCTCTTTTAACAAGCAATAAATGAATAGAAAAATCAATTAAGATTTGCCTAGAATTCTACAGTCGTCATTCTTGTTTTCATTCAGTTCACACCTATATTCTCTCAGTATACATCTAGCCAACCTTTTAGATAAAATCATTGACAGCATACATATTACTTTGTTTTAAAATATTCTGAGTCCCTGAGAACAAAGTACCAGTTATATTTATTCTGTAATTAAAATACTTGCAGCTATACTTGATACCAATATAGTGTCTGAACAGAGGACATAAAACCAATGAAAAATCAGTGTTCTTCACCTACCTCACACCCAACTGTTCAGGTGGAGGAGAGAGGAATCTTTAAGCCCAAAGCATCCTGGGGGATACTTTAGCTAACAGATTATTCTGAATTGTGCTGAGTCTGAGTGAGAATACTTACCTTTTGAATGTTTAAATATTTACTTCTGCATGTGAAAAATACAGGACAAGTTAATGTTAATTATTTAGCAAGTCAAATAAAACCAGCAGAAGTTACAAAACTACGGTGTTTGATGTGCACTACATACACAGGACTGCAGTACAAGAGAATTGTTAAAACTGTAAAAGCAAATTCAAAATTCAAGACAAATCAAGGTGGGTCACTGTCCAGCATTTGTGAATAAAATTACTGCCCTCAGCAACTGAAGAAATTAAACATTTATTTTTATATTGGCATCCAGTTTGTGCCAAATCCAGGTGCACAAACTTTAAGAACAACTTGCATGCTTTGCCTCTTAATTTTGCATGCTGTGACAACTAGTTCAGGCACCTGGACAAACCATGAGAGAACACAAAGATTTGAACGTTCACCTTGAACAACATGGAGTCTTTGCAGATTTAACACTGCAGTGTTTAACAAAGATTTTCCTCTCCCATATCTAAAGTACAAACTTACCTCTCTCAATACAGAATCCGTTATTGAACTTAAATTAACAGCTCCTTCATATGTCAAATAATAGAACACATTCAGGGACCTAACAGCCTCTGGCCCTTGTTGTTTGTAGCCAAAAATCAGATCAATCCACTGGTGAAGCTGGCAGGAAACAAACTCACTTTCTAATGCCTGTGAAAAAAACACACACAAAATATATAAACTTGAGGTTGCCAGATAGTCATCATTTAGTAGCAGTAGAAGCATTTTTTTAATAGCATGCAAAATCTTGCTCAGTCTAAATACAGGACTGGTAACAATATTTTAGACATTCTAGAGAAGAAAAAAAAAATGTTAGGCCCTGCAATAGATCCCACAATCTCGTGCCCTACTCCCTGCAGACCAGAAGACCTTGCTTTTGAACTATAATAGTGGGAATAAGAAAAAAAAAAAAAGGTAAGTGGAAAGCATTTCTGGACAGCTGGGCTATGTTCAGGTTTTTTTAACTCTCCTGATGAAACTGTGCTTTTCTGTGTGCATAGTTTTTCCGTGTGCTTTTCTGCACAGTGCATAGTTACAGCATGATAATGCAATTCTGACATCAGAGAAAAGATCGATAGACTTGGGGGAGTTGAACTATCTAGGGATGTTGGGGTATGAGTTGTTTAACATGCTGGAATATCAACTTGCTACTTTTATGCATTTCTTGTATATGTCTCTTATACAAACCTATTCAGAAATAGTACTATGCAGAATTATTAAGCCACTTTTCTAAGATCTTATCCAGCTACAACCGAATCCCCAAGACAAAAGCATCTAAACAACAATTAATCCCTCCATAATACTATTAGATACTGCGCAATAAATAAATAAATAAATAAATAGTTAATTCCTCTAGATGAAATATCAGGCAGGATTTGCTTCCTCTGTTTTATACAGAGGATTCACTATTATTTCTTATTTGAATGACCAAATGAAACAGCCTAACAAAGTCTGGTATTCTTTTCATCTAAGGAAACAAATGGCATTTTCCTTGTAAAGGAAATCCCTAATTTTGAGCAGAGGAAGTTAAAATTAATCTGGAAACCAAGGAAATCACTCTGCAATTTGCACACAAAAATGATGGGTTTGTTTCATTAACCGATGCCTGAACACAACATTTAAATTGACACATAAAACCAGCAATTGTCTTAATTTGTGTGGTGCACTCCACACAAAAGCCCTAAATATGTTCAAATTAGAGCAAGCTGCTTGATTGTCACTGCAGTCTCATGTCATATTAATGCATGACAAACATTAAACCATACACTTAAATGGCAATTTATATCATTTAATGTTTACTGCCACACCAGATCATCACTCATTTAAATGTGACTTTCTGACAGCTAATTTCAGTTAATTTTCCTCGATTCACTTAATTAGAACTTTCAATCAAGAAAAGACCTGTACATATCTTCAACATTATATCATTTTTTAATTATTATTATTTTTATTAGGATTCCTAGCTACTGAAATGCTGAAAGCATCCTTTAAAATTAATTACCACACAGTATAGTATCCCTTTGCATGACCATATGGAAATACCTTACAATGTATATGTTTAGACAGGTTTTTTCCTTCATCTCTTTTTTCTTTTAAAATTAAAATAAACCCCAACATTTAGACACAGACACACAATTAAAGCTATAAAAAACCACAAGCGGGCCAATTAAAAATTAATGATTTCAAAATTGTTTAATAAGATAAAACCAGTCAGGAGTCTCATGAGTGTCCATAATACTACAATGTGCAGCCATAAAATTCTACAGGGCTCAGCAAATGACAATGATAGGAATTAATTTTCTCGCTATTCTGCTAAAAAAAAAAAAAAAAAAAATTACTCTAGAATATACTTAGTGTTATCATTATAACTATTTAATGTCAGGAAAAGTAGCATTAAGAACTTGTGATTTTTTGATATTGTTGTTAATTTCTTCCTTTTCTTCAATAGATTTGCAATTGGTAAATTCACCTTCACAAAGCACTTGGACATAATAGCTAAAGGAATATTATACTGCAGTCCTCCCCGATAAACAGATTCATAAAACTGACTTTTTCTTAAAAAAGCAAAACTAAACCACACTCCTTGCCTTTTTATGGAATGACTGGGAGCCGTCCTAAATTTACTTCTCTTTTTAAAGTTTAAATTATTTTACACTTCTAACTTGCACAGATTAAAACATAGATAATTTTCTGTCTTTTTTTTTTTTTTTTTTTTTTTTTTTTCTACATAGGGCATTTCACACCTTCTTTCTCATTTGCCAAATCACAAATAAAAGGGCTACATGAAACATGACTATGATCAGCATCAATACTCAGGACCCTGAGGGACAGACCAAACATACCACACAAATCCAAAGCCTAAAGAAACTCGCCTGTCATTTCAGGTTCACTGTTAAACTCGTGGTTGGAGGCAAGTACTTATGCTATGACACAATCAATAAGGGAACAATAGTTAACAGTCTGAATAATGATTAGAAAAATAGAGTAGACTTTCAAGGAAAACGTCACAATGTACCAGCATGTGTGATGCACTTTATAGACACTATTTAGGTATGGGTGCTCTTTAGAAAAAAATTAAAAATCTTAGAAGTTAAAATGTTCAATTTGTGTAACTATCGAATTTTTAGAAGGTTGGTTGTTGTGGGGGGTTTTATCTGGTTTTTTAATTATTATTTTTTAAATGTTATTGTCAGCCTTTATCTCTTGCAAAACTAAACCAAGGGTATGAAATGGTAAACATTTAGGATTATTTCAAGCATCAAGGACAGCCAGTGCTCATTAAGGCTCAGGTTAAATATGGCATGCAGCGATGGGATACTAACATCCTTCCCATGCTGCTCTTAAAGCAAACCAATCAATTGTTAGCACTCCCACAGCAGACCAAGTACATCGTTTACTGTGTGCTCTGAGGAAAATGTGCAAAACAAGAAAATCCTCTAAAATGTCCAGCATAATACAGTACCATTCAATCCTATTGAGTTATTGTAAAATAAATCAGTGACTAATGCCCAATTGTTAAAGGATCAAACAAGACCATGAAAAGACCGTCACAGGAAGCCACACACAAATTGTCAATTCTGTCCACAGGGACTCATATTAACTTTGACAAACTGTCTTGGGGCTGATATCTGTTTCTTTAATGAGATCTATTAGGCAGAGTCTAAAACACTTGAGATATGCTAAAAAGTACAGTATACAGATGTCAAACACAAACACCTATTAGTAACTTTCATTTCTCCATTCCCAAGGTAGAAACACTTCAGACACATCAACAAATTGAAGCTTCAATCTTACAAAAATTTTCAGTTTATTCATAAATATTTTTGAAACACACAATCTGATGTCACTAAATACGTGCAATCAAAACTGCTTCTTCACAAATGACTCTAAAATTCATTATTTCATGTGCATTTTTTAATGCTCCGTTTTCTAAAAGGTATGAACAGAGAATAATTTCCTGCTCACAATCAAAGACTAATGTCACTCTAATATTGATACAAATTATTTGTTAAAATATGGCCAGAATTACAAAAACATAAAACTAGGTGGTTAGGAAGATTTGTTCCTTTTTCCAATACAAATACTCTAACCATTTATTATTATAAATTAAAAATATATATATATATATATCTGGAATCAAGACTTGAATCTTTACAAAGACACTGGACATTTTTTTAAGTGACTGCCATTGGTTTTTACCTTCTACTTTTATTGCTGGTTGAGATTATGTATTGACATCTAGGATATGAAATTATGTCTATTAAAAATGAATATAATCTGTGCTTGAGATTGGGATGTTTCAATGCTGCAATTACATGAAAAGATAGACTGTCTTTCTTTTCACCAGCATAGATATTTACTCATACTACAGTTAATCTGAAATAAACCACTCAAGTTATTCAGAAATAGACCACAGACCTGCTTTGCCTTATTCTTATGCTGATAAAAGCAAAGCCATCTTGAAGCACATCATAAAGCATGCATGTAGCTCTTATTTGGAAGACAAAAGTCCAAACCATACAAAATACATTTTATACAGTTAAAATGAAAGTAGAAAATTTTATGAGAAACCAAAACTGCTTCTCATACTTGAATAAGTTTTCTTATTCACTCAATTAAAAAAAAAAAAAAAAAAATTAAAAAAAAAAAATCACATCACCAAAACCTCAGGAATATACTACATCAGAAAGTAAGAAATTACAAATCTCAAGTACAAATACTCTCCTATTACCTTTAATTGGATAAATATTTTAATTCCTCTTTGAAGTAAGGAATTTCCTTTGAAACACTTGAAATAATTGAGTCTCTTTTTTTGCATTCCATTTGAAAAATATTTGTGTATGAACCAAAAAGCATGAATTAGGATTTCACTCATTTTTAGCAAAACCACAGTTTTCACATGAAAAATAGTATCCTTGAGCACAACAAAATCACCCTCACAGCTGCAGTATCAGTAGCTACTTTAAGCTATGTATGCTAGCTTGGAAATACGCGTGTGGATGTACATTTAAAAAAAACACAACAAACCAAACAAAACCAAAAAACCACAACAAAACCAAACAACTGGAATTATGTTTGCATGTGCAGGCTTTCAGACACAAGTTGGTAATGTTGCCTTAACATTGATATACGACCTCTGTAAGTTAAAATGAAGAAGGCTGGTTTTTTCAGCCTAATTAGAACTGTTTCAAATTTTCCTGCTAAATATATGATAGAAAGTCCTTTCAACTTTTTTTTTTTATTATTATTCTAGAGTTCCTTTCCATGTCTACCTTGTTCCAATCAAAATATGTTTTGAATTAAATATTTTGATTCAATATGTGGATCACATTTCACTTTTAAGATTGAAAGTCCAAAAAGGAAAAGTTTAGGCTGTTCAAACAAAGCAAAAGCAGCCACTTTGTGGAAAGCTATTCACATTTACCAAGACTGACAAATTGTTTGTGTGCACCATTAGGTCTAGTTTCTGCAATAGTTGCCAGATTTCCTGTCCTCCTAATAACACATTAACTCTTGAAGTGCTGGCTTTATCTTTTGAGATTTCTCCGTAACTACTACTATTTAAAAGTAAATCACCAAACACACTTTCACCAGCAACACTATATGATCATATGGGTAGACACTGAGGGGAAAAAAAATCCAAACGTATA